GTAACCACTTTTTAGCTTGACATGCTCTAGCTGCTGCACACAGCTGTGACGTATAGAAAAAAGCCATTTACACTGTAAACCGGTATCATATGGAAACATACAATATGTTTCTTTGTGTTTATGGTACAACATTCAAACCTTTATTTTTCTCAAAAGTTACTGTCTAGAAACTTATTGAGACAAAGTTCTTCACTCTTCCCCATAGTAGCTTGTATATCAACCTAACAAGGGATTTTCCTATTGAGTTGTCTGAGTAATTTTACTACATAAACAGCTTCCTCATCATGTCTCCCCCATTGGACTTTCTTGAAATTCTGTGAACTGCCTACTCTTGAGTCCCATGCAGCCTTGATGTCACTGGTTAAAGAAATAGCATCCCTTCTGGATATTTCTTTCCACCTTGCTTCCTCTGTGAAAACAGCTTATATCATACTGTCTCTGGCACTGGTTAAGCACTAACATAAAGGTAAATGTAGTGTGATGACAGTTCTCGTCATGCAAGAACACGGTAGTGTGTGTGATGGAACTGGAACAAATAGGATGTGTTGAAACTCACAAATCTTGTGCAAGTATGCATCTTGCCCTGACATAGCTCCTATTCTGCATATTACAGATGTATTGCAGCAGACAAACAGATTTTTTTTACATTGCATAAATTTGCATGTTGTAGAGACTGATCACACTGGTTTCTTCTGGATAAATCAGCTTGTTTTGATTGAAAATTTGATGCTTGTTCGACCTTTCAAGCATAAAAAGTTCTGAGCATGCCACTGCCACTAAAAAAAAGATTTAATTTCAGCACCAGCCAGATTTTCACAAAACCTAAGTACAAGATACACAGGATGTTTTGCATTAATTTTAGATTCAGACTGAATATATATTTTTCGCGGAAGTCTCTTTCATCAAAAGAAAACCAGGGCAGCTTTTTCTTTGGGAATATACTTCAAGTGGACCAGACAAGTGTGTGCTCAGTATAGGGTCCCCTGGTGATTGCCAGCTCTATGAACAATGCCTGCAGTGTAGTCTTATTGATTGAGTCAGTCCTCCAGTTGCAAAATGTACAATTACTGCTGAGTCACATGATAATGTCATTCATCTGCAATGAAAAGCTGGACCAGCAGTATCAATTTAAAAGCTGGCATTCCGCATTATTACAGTCCCATGTCCTAACATCTGTCCTCAGTGAATACTAGCCAGCGCTATATTTAGCCCACACGTCCAGCTTTATATAGGTCAAGAATCCCATCTACACTTACACTGCTACACTTCAAGTGTGTAGCATTGTCTTTGCTTGTGTAGGATCCTGGCAATTAGATTTCTCTGACCACTCCCATTCCACAGGTAATGTAGAGCGTTAAGGCTTCCAGAAGGACTCCTGAATCAAATCTTCTGTGGGCAAAATCTGGATCAAAAACCAAAATAGTTTTTCCAGGTCCTGCTGTGTATTTTTAGTTTCCTACAGTTGAAGCTTAAGTACTTGTGAGGGGAAAAGCCAATGGTGTTTTGCTTCTTTTCTGTGTCTGTCAGGTGTTTTTCATCTATGAGGTTTCCCACAGAGAGAAGCGCCTGATGGCCACAGGAGTATTGCTGCTTTGAAGTTTTTTTGATGAACTTTCCCCACCCACAGACTGTTAAATTCACACTTTGAAAAGGTCCGAATTGTCCTTTGCTTGGCAACAAAGCAACAGAAAGAGGGCAATTGCTTGGCCACTTTTAAGTCCTCTGGTTGTCTGTCTTTGTCCATTTGACACTTTCCAATATTTTTTACAGTATCATTATTTACACACCCATACTACCTCCATCACTTCCACTCTGTTCAGAGCAACAACAGGATGAGCAAAAGTACAAAGATAAAGAAACTGAAAATTACATGCGAAACTGCTGATTTCACTCAACAAAAAAATCACTATTAGCAACCCCAGCAATCATCTGTATATGTCATCTAACCACCAAACAAGCAAATATCAGCAGTATTTATAGTAATAGAAGAACTAATAAATTAATAAAGTTAATTGTTTTGTATCATAATACAATACAATGTACATTGTAATACAATACAATGGAAAGAAATGCAGTCATAATGGTGCTGAGGTCTATGCCACATAACAACTTACATATGTTCAGCTCAGCTTCTAAACTTCTTTATTGCTTTTTGAGAGTTCAAACACACATTTAAGCCGTAGAAGATTCAGACATAGACTAATAGAATCAAAAAAGAGAGAAAAAACTTAGAGATATGGACCCATATATTCCTGAATACATTTACACTATTATTAACTCCATTGTGGGCTGGATATGTCTACTCAAACTAATCAAACTGAAAAAATGAGTTTCTGTTTTGGTTGGTGTGGTGGTTTTTTTTAAGTAGGACACATTTGTCTCAAAGATGCTAAACCTGCCATATTGACTAGTGGGTTTCTTTTTCAATTTCAAGACAAATTGTGAAAACATTTTTTGTACAGGACTGGCCCTCGTTGATATGTTTCCCGTTTTTGCATCACAAACTGCAATGTGACGGACTGTTGGATTCATTGTTGTATAGACAAACTCTCCTAAGGTTCTGAGTGTCACTGCACTCAGTGTTTTGAACAGCTAGTGCAGTCAATGTTTATTGAGCAAATGAACGCTTCTCAAGTGTGTATTTTTCTCCCCAGAATAAAATTGGTTACATGTAGCTTCACAACTAAGTAAGCATAATACAACAGCTTCTGCAGTGAAGACTATACTAGTTCCCTGAACCTTGGTAGGAAGTAGGAAAAGTTCCAACTCAACTAAAAAATGTTTTGTTTTGTTTTTTGGATCATTAGTTGACAAACAGCTGTGCGTTTTCGATAAATATGCCTATGAAGAGAGAATTAGCTTATTCTAGTTACAAGTCAATGGAAGTGTGTAGGATTTGACACTGAGCAGGAGATTTTTATTTTATACAAATAATTTACAGTAGTCATTTGAGCAGTTGCTGTATAGTAGTGTGTATACATACTTAACATATATAGCTGATACTGTTTGTCAAAAGTTGCTTAGACCAGACGGGTACAGATTGGTTACTTGAAACAAATTGCACTGTTTTACGCTGGATAATGTGTTTGTAAATTGCAAGAGAGGCTTTCAAAAAAACCAAAAAAAAACCTGTTAAGTCACTTTCCTAATAAATAATAATTTTTTTGAATTGTGCCAAATTCACAGCAGACATTTTAAGCACATTATTTTTGTCACTTTAACAAAGCCGTCTGATTAAGTGTTGTCATAAAACAGATCCTGGGCCAATTAGATTTAAAAAAAAGATGGGCTCGCAGGCAAAGAACAGTCTGCAGATTTGTTTCCATGCCAGCTCTAACAGACGGAAAGAGAGGGATAGAGGAGGATGGGATCTGGGAGGGGAGGGGAGTGGAAGACAGGCTTCTTTTTCATCCACAGCTTTCACCAAACCTTCAAAGTTAATTTGAGGTCAGTTTGTGTGAATACTAAAAGAGAAGTAGTTTGCCCGGAAAAAAAGAAAAAAAAAAAAAAGGGTGTGTCACTGCAGACCAGACATTCTGTCAGGACGTTAAAAGTTTGTACAGTAAACAAGCAGCGTGATGATAGAGCTTAATCCAGTCATCTCTACTGTTCGTTTCCTAAGAGATGACAATATATAAAGATTGTATTTGAAGAGGTCCTGAGTTTACTTTTGGCCACAAATAAAAAATAACATATCTCCCAAAGGCATAAATCAATTATCTTAAAGCAATTCTAAAAAGAGTCTCCTCTGTCTATTTAAATGGAGGGTTTCATTAGTGAATTGAGGCAGAGCAATCTGAAGAGTAGAGGGGCCACTGTAACCCCTTAGCTTTGCCTTGAGAGCACTATCACTGAATGTGATGCATGTTAATCTCCATTTCCTCGATTATTTGTGGGCCACTGTCAGTACATACTGTTTCTTCAAAGTCAGGGTGACTTTCTTTTACTGTGCTTCAGTCCTCTGTTGCACAGAGAAACGGAGGGGAGAGAGATGATGAGGAATGGGATTGGGGGGTGGGAAGATGAGCAGAGGAGTAAACATGGAGACAGGTGTCTGGCAAGGGACGGTGATTAGATTTATAAACCAACCAATGTTATTTTCTCTGCTTGGGGGCTGCTGTAAGACATTAAGCGCTAACTGAAGCTCCCAGTGTCCCACCGCAGAGACACTTTTCCCTCCATCTCACTCCTTTCGCTCCCATTCCTCCTCTCCTGTATCCCCTCACATTCCTCTCTACCTCTGCTTACCGTGTCTTCTTCCCTTTCCTCTATTCCCTCGGGTAAGATTAGATTCTCTTCCTCGTATCCGACCAAGATGGATTGGCCTTGAAAGCATCCTTTCTGCTTCCATCACCATGCTTGCATTTTCTCTTCCTCAGGCAGGGGTGTGTCATCCTTCCCCCTGTCTCCCTAGACCATTGGCTGGAACACAACATCCAATATTTTCTCCAGCTGGAGTGGAACTGAGCGCATTAGGGATGGGTCTGTTAAGGTGATCAGACTTGCTCGCGCGATGCCCAGGGACCATTTTTCTTCATTTGAGAGCGTCTGTCTTGCTGCCAATACTATAGATTTTCTATCAGCTCCTTAATCATGGCTCCATGATTGGGAAAGTGATTGGCCGGGCTCTCTGATATGAAAACTGTAGTATCAATTTCGTGTCTGTGAGGGCACATAGCTTGGGTTATTAGACGGCAATTTGAACAGTTATACGAAATGTTCCTTCCCTCACCCTCATCAACTTCCCACTGGAGCCGCCTTTGCTTTAATCTACATGCAAGCTCCTCTGCAAAACCTGTCAGGAAAAAAAAAGTCCTGCTTTCACTATTCAGTCAAACAGCTTTATAATTTCACAACGTAGAGATAAATATTTCTGTGGTCCATAGAGGGGAAGTAGCCGAAGGAACAGATCATTTAACCGAACAGCCTTTTTATTCAACACATTAAATGAAGAGGCTAATACTATTTGTTTCTTTCCCTCTCTTCCTGTCTCCCTTTAGGTCATCTGATGGTGGGTGCTCAGCAGGAACAGTGGTGGTGAGTCGTCTGAAGATGGGGGAGATGGAGGAGGTTGATGTAGACCACATCACCACTGACATACCATCCCAGAAGGTAAAATAGCAGGGTGACTAGACGAAGCAGGAGTCTCCATGCCCCAGATGCCTTGTGCTAAAGCTAGGATTAGACTGGCACTGCTCAAGTCCTCAATGAGATTAAATAAACTTCAGTAAACCCTAATGGGGATTTACAGGATATGTGTGCATGTAACGTCTGTGTCTGTGAGTACATTTGTGTTGTCTCTCTGTGATACAGAAAAATAATTAAAGAGAGGACTGTCCAAATTCCTATTCTGAGACACTTCCATTTGTTGTCAGTCCTGAAACCTTTATTCATTTGACCAAGATAATTCCTGCATGTGGCTTTCTCGCCGCCACTGCTGTCACGCCCCCTTCTACACTCTAATCTCATACAATACATACCGCTTAACTTGACTCCCAAGTGACACATAATCAGAGGAGCAAAAGAGGAAGAAACAGTATTCTCCTTCAGAGTTTGACAGTAAACCGAAGATTGTGCCTTCAAAATGGGGTGCCACCACACCAGAAATGAAGTTGTATGTACTCTGATTCCAAGTCATTTTCTGTACATACCTAATGGAGACAGATTTCTTGAACATTTGTCGAGCAAATGTGTCCTGTAGAGCCAGGGGTCCAGTAGTACAAAGTAAAGAAGGAGCTTTAATGATGTTTTTTGATCTGTAAAGGGGGATCGGATTTTCTTTCACCACAGCACAGCTCTGCAAGGTAGCAGAGACTCGCAGTCCGTGTCTACTGTTGATTTGCTGTTGTGTGTATGTGTGTGTGCACGCCTTTGTGTGAGTGTGTGTGTGTGTGTGTGTGTGTGTGCGTGTGTGTGTGTATTTGCCTGTATTTTGTGTGTGTGTGTGTGTATGACTCACTGTCTTATATAATTGACCAAGGGCTTCTACATGGCTGACTGGCTTTCGGTTCTGCCCACCCCTGTTGCTGGTGCGGGGAGGTTCCCTGCTAGGCTCCAGAGTGTCACTGACAATCTGCCCATGTCGACTTGATGAATGTGTTGCCCTGTGTGTGTGTGTGTGTGTGTGTTGCCCTGTGTGTGTGAGTGTGTTGTCACAGCATATTTCCCCTTCTGTGTGTTGTCTCTGTTGCAGAAGATGAGGGGAGGGAAGAGTGAAGAAATATGACAAAATTTAGGGAGGGCTCGCTTGAGAGATAAGACTCACAAGTTTACCTTTGTCGTGTGCATGTCTGGCTGCCTGAATGTACTGTATGTGACGTGTGTATGCGGCGGGCACTCCCGCTGACCCTGCAAAAACAGTCAGCTGAAACAAGAAAGGTACTCCAGTCACCTTTGATCTAATCTCTTTACATATTTTAGTCATCAAAGAGCCATCGAACACATGCTGTCTGCTGTCTACAATTAAAATAGGAATCCTTTCACAGCTGTGGCCCTTGGCTCATTTGTTATACTCTTCATTATCAGAAACCTTACTGACTACGTGCATGGAAATTTTCCATATGCTAGTTGTTTCTGTCTGTTCAGTTCAATGGACACATTTTATTTTGGAGGTTGTGTGTGATCATGGCTGCTGGTTAGGAGTCTGTTTTATTCAGGATCAGTTTCCGAGATAGGAGAGGTGATGGATTGTTCCTAGCAGTCATTTAAAGTCCTGTTCTGGGGACAGGTTTGGCTGTCTAGCTGTGTTAAATGGTTCATCAGACAGGGCAGAGCTGACATACAGTGAACAAGAAAGATTGTTAGTTGTCAGTATTGCTTTGATGAGGAGTCCCAGACTTAATGCATCAAGAGGCAATGAAGGTTTTCACTATCAGAGACATTTCACATGGACAAATTCGACACACTTTGATCCATGACTAGCAGAGTGTACACGATAGAAGGATAAAGTTTTATACAATTTGTTAAAGTAATTTGATGTTTTTATCTTTATCAAAATAACATCCAAAATCCAAAACATCCCAAGGATTCATGTTAATCTTTTTAGCCTTTATAAAATAAAAAACACGAGAATAAAAGTGATGAAATGTATGTTTGTCTACTTCAACATAGCTGCAATCGTTAGTACGTCCTACAGTAGTAACTGGACATCATTTCCACGGCCAAGGAGCACATCATTAACATATGTTTGTAGGGTTCTTGGTTAAACGAGAAAAACAGCCCAGTTCACAACTGATCTAATATGTACTATGCAAACCAGCTCTGGATGCTGTCACAGTGTAGTGTAATGTTAGCAGCTCTGTCCTGCTCTCTTTTGTATTTGGGGAAGGTTACGCTCATCCAGGTTTCCTGAGATATCATCACATTTGCCAAACTCATTGGTTAGCCCTCAACCTAAAAGTCTTTTCTCTTTTAAAATTAAAATTGAAAACATGCTGTTTGAAAATACAAGTATGTAAGCTAAGCAGCCAAACACGGTTATGTCAGAATGAAATAAAAGTCAGACTAGGTGTACACTGCAAGACAATAATGCTGCTTCCTTATTACCATGTCTTCTGCATTGATCATCAGCTTTTGACAATGCTGTTGTTTTTGCCTCAGACTTGCAGCTTTATTGTTGTATCTTGTCATGTATGTAGCCATCTAGGGCATAATTAAAACCCCCTTAAAAGATTCTCCTGCAGCTGATAAAATCTACTAGTGAAAGTAATTTCAACTGGCAAAATCAACGGTTACCAGTTGGAAATGAGAAGTCTGCTTTTATTGACTTCTGTCTGAAATCAAGGATCCATTGCAGTAAATCTGCTACTGTTATTGTAAACTACATGTGTGCTATGCTGGAATAGGCTTAACAAACTGTCATGTGGTTTATTAATCTATAAGACCTTTTTTTTTTTTAAACTGCAACATTGGTTTGGGTTTTGGTTGTTTTATCTTGTTTGTTTTAGTATGTCAATGCATAGTAATTTGAAGCTATTGGGAAGAAAGTACAGTATTGAACAATGAAAGACTGAAATGGCAGTTTAGGTAATAAATTACCAAGCCCATCAGCCAATCAGTGAAGTCGCAGCAGTTGTTTTCCTCCAGATGTCACCTGCTGTGACATCAGTGATTGCAGTGAAGGCAGGAGTGCAACATGCTTGAACATTTGAACTAAAAACAGCCATGCAGCAGCAGATGTTTGCTCTGTGTTGGTGTCTTATGGGTGAAGTCTTTAAATGTAGTATTTGCAATGTGCATACATCACATACAGTAGCTACTATTTCTATCTGTGTAACAGGTTGTGTTGTTGAAATTGAGTTACATTATTTCGGTAATGTAAACCCAAATAAAAAATAAATGGAAAGCCAACAAAAGTATTGATTCACACATGAAACCATCTGTGTATTATATCTGTAGTAATTTTCAAAAATCTGTTATATTGCAATAATTTTGACGCACGTTAAATATTTAATGTTTCATTTCAGTCAAAAAAATTCTAACCCTTCAGAATGTGAATTTTGAATTTCGTCGTTGTACAGCCAGTGTGGAACAAACCGCCTGAATTTAACACAATACTTACGGGAGCTGGTGACTACAACTTTGACACTGATAATATATTGTTTCTGACTGACAAAGCTAACTTGGTATTTTCAAACACAGCTAAACTATAGTTTCTGTCAGATGAAATACGGTCTCAGGTTGCAGAGGGGTACGGTCACCTCCATTGTACTTCATACATAATAGTCATCATCAAAGGCCGCCAGCTCCTTAGAAAAATACTTCAACATCACTACTGTTATTTAACAAAGAAAATTCTGGTGTCAAGTAATACTCACTCTCTGTGTGTCTCTCTGTTCTTTTCCTTTCCAGTGTCCCTTGGTTTGTGAGTCGGCATCACATGCCTGCGTCGACAGAGAAAACAACCCATTGACAGGGCCGGGTATGATTCACATCCTGAACACCTGTAATGTTACCATTCATTCATAAACAACCTAGCAATCAAAGAAAACACACACAAAACACATTTCTTCTCCAATTTACCTGTCTTCCTACTTGTCCCCGTGCAATATACAAAGTTATTTTTGCAGGAGAAAATGGCAAGAGCTCACCCTGTAATGGCTTCAAAGTAAAGCTCGAAATAATTAATCTATACTCTATTGTAATACAGCATTGTGGTAGTTAACATCTATATAACATCTTCTTTTATCCAAAAGTCCCTTAATTAACATATAATTACCCTCGAATAACCCTTCCATTAAGAAGATTTCAGGTATCTCTGAGGAATCCCATTTGATTAAAGAATGTATGGTTTTCCTGATTTGATTAAAAAGAGGTCTTGGGGGGTTTTTTTTAGCAGCGAGAAAGAATAGTGGAACGTATTTTACAATGAGGTAAACCTACTCTGTTCTTTGTGGACTGACTGAAGACAAGCAAAAGATGCCATACTAGCTGTATGACACTAATTTAGTGGCAATGAAAAAATCTAGCCCTCTCAGCGGTAGAGAACGAGAAAATTGTTGAGAGAAAATGAAAGACATGTAGACAGAAAAGGGATAGACTTGAAAAGGTCACAACTCCTGCTGTGTTGAAACTTCACAGCCCATGTTCAGAGGAGACTTGGGAAACTGGTTTCCTTTTTCCACCCCATGAATTAATTTGTTCCACACATCCATTTTCTCTTTTATCCAGGTTCCCACTACCTCCCTAAGCCCCCCCTGCAGCCCCACGCCTGTTGTCATGGTGTCATTGTCACTTACTGTTTCTACTGTGATTAGCTAGTGAACTGCAGCCATGTTTGCAGGTGCACATCTGCAGCCCGTCAAAACAATACCCTCCCTGCAGACCCCGCCAGATTGAGTAATGCAATTTAGTCTTCCACTTTTATTACCTTTCAAAATGAGCATACAGAGAGCAGGGAGATGGGGGAGCCCACGCACAGCACGTCTCAGGAAGTCATTTTCTTAAGAGGTGTCAGGAAGGGAAACAGAAGCGTCTGATTGGTGGTCAAATTAGTGTGGTGGCAGGGGGGGAGTTCAGGGGTTAATCCGCTTCTCTGACGGAGGTGGAAGGCAGCAACTGTCGCTCTTCCGATTAAGGTTGTGCCTTCCCTCCCTTCTCTCCATGTGTCACTTGCTCCCTATTTATTTTTGTCTTCCATTTCACTTCACTTCACTCTAATCCCCATGCCGGCAATGTCTAAATGTCCCATTTCATTTAGATGCAATTTGAATCTTATTTGTGGCCATTCTAGGGCCAGTCTTAACCTTAATCATCATTCATTTCTACATCAGCTTCAGCATCGTTAGAATAATAAGCCTGGCTGCAGCTTATTTGGCTCACAGCTATTGTCCTTTAGAGGATCTCTATTGTCTGTATGAATAGGGGCTTTTATCCACAGAAATGATGACGTAACAAATTAAGGAAACAAACTGAGCTTAAATTAGCCAACATTTCAATAAACCATATGAAAGTACTGTAGCTTCAAAAAATGTATTCCGTTTTGTTTGTAAATAAAATGATGTGATAAACAACGATAGAAAATTACAGCCTTCATAGCTTCATTCCTCTGGTGCTCATCATGGTTAGTGTGTGTCGCTATTAGGTTGTCCATTTAAATCTTGCCAAGTGCACAGATTCCACCTTAAAAATATAGGCATGGCATTGTTCTAATATTTTTTTTTACTGCAATATCCCATAAAATGACCAAAACCATCAATCCATTCATCCATTTCTCAAAACTTTCTTACTTCCTGACCGCAGCACTTAGCTATAAACCCATTTGTTCCTACCGAGGATGGAAATCCTTCAAATGGATCACAGTTTAATTTTTTTAAATGGCTAAGTAGTTTCCAAAAACAGCTGAGCTCTGTAGTTTTCAGTAAACATCACTCAAACAGGAGTAAACAGTGTATTTGTTAGGGACCATTTTCAGCCACGGATGAATATACATACCCTCCTGCACCAAAACACTTGAGTCAAATAAACTGTGCAGCTGTAATGTTCAGGGTTATAAAGGATGTTTGCATCAGTCTCACCCAGGGCAATAATGTGTCTTTTATTGGTTTTTGGACAACAGTGAAGGTCTGTGACACAGAGGAATAAGCTATATCAGGCTTAGGATACACATACAACTCTTGTTAGTAGAATCAGTGCATTGTTAGATTTTGTCCTTTCCTCACATTTGTTGATGATAACAAAAAATATGCAATAGCACCAGGAAAACTGGAAAATTTGCACAAATCAATAGAAGACACTTGATTATCATTGACATTGTCTTGGAACATTCTTTTACATTCTGTTAACCAATTTATTGTTTTCATTTCAAGTGTTTGCCCAAAATTCACTGTGAAACAAGCTTTTATTGAAACACAGTTACAGTTGTTAAAACCAACCAGCCCTCATACTTTGATATTGTGTCCTAGATTAATTTCCTCTTACCACATAAGAACTTCCACTGTAGTGCTCCTTCTTGAACCCATCTGCATCGAAGGGCATCACTGAACTTTAACACTCAAGGACAAATGACGTAGCACCACCAGGATTAATGACTTGGATGCTTAGACAGATGACTTTGAAAAAAGGACAATCTGGGGCCACACCGGGGTATGGTACAGTATGAAGTGTTTGGAAGCGGCAGCATTCACTGTACTGTCAGTAGGAGCAGAAGTGCGGCTCCCACTTTTGAATTCAAGCAAAAACATTTCATTGGTGCCATGCGTGTTTGACTGCCTAGAGCGAGATTGTCAATGTTTCACCTGGGGTACTTCAGCTCCAGCTTATTGAGTGACTTTCTGACTGCAGCCCTGGAAACGAAAAGGAGTAATAAACACTGTTCAAGGCACACAGCTTTCTTGCCCTCTGCTGCCAGCATGCAGATAAGAGCATTAGAGCTGTTTTTCGTTTCCAGCCTTCGATTGCTGCTATTAGCAACTCTCTACAAAAATGAAGAAGATGGGGCTGAATTTGAATCGTTCTAATGGAAGAGTTTGGTGGTGGGGTTAGCAAGCAAAGTTTCAGAATGATTCAACTGTCTGTGCACCACTGTTGCACAATAAACAAGCAATTAAAATGCAAATGGTGGAAATAATAAGGCAAAGATTAACAGGACTAGGTTTCTGTATTTCAGTCTATATTCTAGTGTGCTGTGTTGCCACTGAAGTTGAAAGAGAGAGAGAAGGCCTTCGAAGACGAGAAACACCTTATCTATGGCAGACACAGTTATTGATTATAGAATTTAATTTGTGCTTCATACCTCATGTGACTTTTTTTTTGAAGAGTCTCTGTCTGTGGCGTCCTTGAGGTTGCCAGCTGTCAAAGCTGCTTTAGATCCTCAGTTTTCCCTTTGTGAAATAGAAAAAAGTTAGAGAACACGATGCTTTTTTTGCTGTGTCAGGTTGTTCACTATACCTTTCTTCCCTGCCTTTGTCTCCCTCCCTCAGTATTCAAGAACCCAGTATGCAAGGTGTACAGATTTCAGACAGTGGACAGCAAGTGGATGCTTGTACGGGAACAAATGGAGGAGTGCACTTTGTCCTTCAGCATCCCCAAACAGCTGCTCTCACTCTACATTCAGGAGGACATGAGAAGGTAAGCCTGATCAAAAGATGTCACTGCCAGAGATCTCATTGCATCAGATAGCTTATTTCCTGTTTGTGCAGGCATCAACTAATCAACCAATGGACACCAGTCAAAAGTTCAAAGTAAAACTCCAACCTTGTGTTACCTCATTATGTGTACAGTATGCATATGTAACTTCTAGACTGCCTTCACCAACCCAATTCACCGATGTAAAGGATTATTCAGAAGTTCCACCTATATTTGGAGAGTTAATTATTCGCATCTGCTTAACACTTCAAAAGAGGATTCAATGCCCATGCATCCAGAAAACGACAAACATTGTCTCTTTCAAACACACATGCACACGTCGTGAACATCGTGCTGTCGGCGATAACTGGTAATAACAGCAAGTGTGGGTTAGTACTACAGGTAAATTCAGGGGGCAGCAAACACTCTGTCAGCGTGGAAGGAGCTATTTTATCTGAAATGCAGCAAAGGATCAGCTGGGTTCTCTGCTTAGAGTACATCCAGACAAACTCACTCTGTTTTGATAGATAAGTTGTTCAAAATTGACCTTTTTTCTTCATATCATGAGCAACTACTGTCTGACTTCATGCTGTGCATAGTTTCATTTTTCACTACAGTATTTGAAACTGATCCACTGTCAAGAAAATGCTAAAAAAAAAAAAAAAAGTGATAATTTTCCTGTTTTGGATTATAACTCATCAAAAATTCTCTTTCGAGTAAATGTGGAACTTTATGGAAATCAGGAATGTAACTGCAATTAAAGTCCAGGCCAGTGTGAGAATGAGGACAGGTTAAGACAAGGACAGAGGGTGGTGGTGTTTCACCAGTCTCCAAGTGTGCACCCGTAAGTAGATCAAAGAGTCCCTTCCCTCAGGCTCGACTAATGTTTGTCAAGACAGATCATTTCTCAACTGGCCTGTTGTCCCTGGCAACCCCCTCTCATACATAACACACAAACGCATCCACACACACACACCCTTAGATGATTTCTTCTCTCACAAAAAATAAAAGTGCAATCAGAGATTTTGATGAGCTTGGTAGTGGGAGGAGACTTTGATTTGTAATCATTGTGTGCACCTAAAGAATTGCACAGAGTTCAAGGACACATTCACATACGCAGAACCATACACACAACTGCACTCACACTCCCCATCACACACATTCACGTAGAAACAATCACAGAGCCATTATTGACCGATTGACTAGACAAGCTCTGTTATCAGTTTACCAGTCAAACAGATGTACCGGAATTCGTTTGCATTCTCGGTCACATGTCCTCTCTCAGTATCTCCAACCTTTCTTTCTGTTTAAATAGAAGATGATCAGCTCTGCAAACTGATGATTTAAATCACAGCTAAATTTGGAAGACAATTATAGAATATTTATTAAATGTCTTATCTGTATAATGCAGCTCATGAGCACTCAGCAGGCTCCAAACCATGACTACCTTATACAATGTTTGTTTATTAACAGGCATGTGTACCGTATCTCCAGCTTGGTCGCTTAAGCACCTCTCCCTATAATCCTCTTTAAATGTTGTCTTTCTCCACGGTGCCTCTCCATTTAGCCAGTTCTGTCAGCCAGATTCACACTGGTGCTAGCTCAGTGTTTTTAATGATTCAGTTAGTGCTGCAAAGTTGTGAGTGCAGCGGCGGATCGTGGGTGGCTTAGTTTGCTGTACCACTCGATGATAATCTTGGATGTTTTCTTCCCTCTGTTTGTTCACTTTGATGTCTACAGTCACGTTCTTAATCTAACTCAGCGGACACAGAGGTGGCAGATTTTTTTCCGCTCGTTCCTCCAGTCATGATGCTGCTGCTCCTCATGTGTGTCTGTGTGTCTGTAAAGATAATGAATGCATGTGTAGTAAAGTCTCAGTGTGTGGGTGTTGATTAAACCCCTTTCATTAACAGCTGTCTGGTTTCTTATTAATGGTAAAAAATCATGGCCCCTTCTTTTCCTCTTAATAAACAAATGCTGTGATTGTGTATCAAGATCATATAGGTGACATATTAACATCAGGCTTCACTATTCACAGGCTAATTGTTGTGAACATTCAAGATCATAGTAATGACTGTGCTTGTTGGAAGGAGCTGCATGTTGTGAAAGAAAGGTTTGCTTTTCAGTCCTCTCACGCAGATTTTATTGACCCTGCACACAAAGCTCTCTGTGATTAAACTGAAGAGGCACTACAATGCACCGTGAAATAAAGGTGCCCACATGACTCGTCTTTGCTCTTTGGGAAACATATTCTGTTATCCCAGTCATCTGTCCAAGTAAATGTTAGCACATCATTCTACTTTGTTCATGATCTGCATCATGTTTTAGTCAAGATAAATGACTGAGCTGTGTCAGCTTCTGTATGTCCTTTAAAGCAAATCCCAGTAAGTATTGTATTGTAGATTTTTTCTTCTCTCCCTTTATCCCTTCTCTTCTTCCTCCTCATGTACTATAGATACCGTTTTCTGTCCATCCATTCTTTTGTTTTCTATTTCTGTAGCTTAAAATCTTATCTAATCTCTACTTATTTCTCATCTCTTTGTCTATGTAAACGGAACAAGCAAAAAAGCCCCTTTTTTTAGAAAATATTCAGCTACATATTCTACTGCTTTATTCCAAATGCTTTATTACTTCGGGATTAATTTTTTTTTTAGCCTGAAGAAAACACTGCTGAAAAAAATTAAGGGAACACTTAAATCACACATTGGATCTTGATGAACGAATTATTCAAGTAGAAAATCTTTACTGATGTACATTGTTTAATTTGTTGAGAACAAAATGACGTAACAATGGCTAATGGAAACCAAAATCATCAGCCCATTGAGGCCTGGATTCACAATCGCACAGAAAATCAAAGAAAAAATTCACAGGCTGATCCAACTTGTTAGAATTTCATCACGGCAACTCATAAAGTGACTCAGCAGTGTGTACGGCCGCCGCGTGCCTGTATGCACTCCCAACAACATCTTGGCATGCTCCTGATGAAGTTAGGGTTATTTTGTAGGGCTCTGGCAGTGCTACTCCTGTTCCTCCTCGCACAAAGGAGCAGGTACTGGTCCTGCTGCTGGGTTGATGCGCTTCTACGGCCCTGTCCAGCTCTCTTCATGTAATGGCCGGTCTCCTTGTATCTCCTCCATGCTCTTGAGAGCTGTGCTGGGAGACACAGCAAACCTTCTTACGACCACACGTATGGATGTGCCGTCCTGGAGAAGGTGGACTACCTGTGCAACCTGACTGGGCTGCAGGTACCGCCTCATGCTGCCAGTAGGGACAAGGACACTAGCAAAACACAAAACTAGAAAAAGAATCAGTCAGTAAGGATCAGGAGAGAGCAATTGTCTGTTACGACCACATGCAAAACCATTCCCTTTTTGGGGCTTTTACCTCTCCATTGCACCTGTGGTCCCTTTCATTTGCACCAAAAGCAGGTGAAATTGATTCACAATTGCTTGTGCTTCCTAAATGGACAGATTGATATCCCTAAAGTTTAACTGACTTGGTGTTATACTATGATGAATAAGTGTTCCCTTAATTTTTTTGAGCAGCGTATAACAAAACTCAACTCTCACATTGATGACATTATGATTTTCAAGCAACCTTCGCTATGCATTTTTTTGAATAAATGACAACAAACCTGTGTTTAATAACACATCTTATAATAAGGTAAAGGTAATTCTCTGTGTCATTATTATCTCTTATTAGTAATAATCATGAACAACACAAACAACAGATGGCAGTAACCCTAGAAAATTGGATAAATTCTCACTTCAGTGTCTTAAATATATATATATATAATGTAAACAATAATTTAAAGACCCCCTCCACTCAAAAATGTTTTAATACAATATAAAATGTGGAAAGTAAACAAACACTGACAATGAACTTTTCAGTGAAGTAGGAGACCCCTTGTGTCCAGTGATTAAACTTTTGAAATGAACGATATTTCCATATTCATAGATTTTAGATTTTTCAATGAGGGAGAAGAAGTAGGTATAATTTTAAGAGTTTTATAGGCAAATAAACATTTATATTTATTAAACATGCCTGGAGGGGAATGTTTCAGAATATGAGATCAAACCAAATATATTCCCCACTTGGACTATACAGTTGATTTATAACAATTACAGCATCCTCACATTGATAAAACAGGTTAAGTCATTTAAGTCTTGTAAAAATAATTTGATTCGATTTTATAATATTATATTTCTAGTTCCTTTTCTCAGTTCAAACACCTTAAAAACCTCCTAGATTCCATTTATGCATAAACTGTTTATTGGAGCACTTTTTTTCAAATGCCTGCTGTTAGATGCAATACCAAAAGACCTGAGTGACATTGTGACCCTTTTTTACATGCATATACTTAATCAGCCTATCCATATTCTTATCACACTATTCCTCAATCACACCTTTACTCTTCTCAGACAATAGCACTCTGATTAAAGAGGTGATACTATATCTCTGTATCCACCATCCCACTGCCTTATCACCCTCATTTAGCAAGCAGATATGTTTATCTATTCTTTTATCCGTTCTCTGTTATTTACAGCAGGATCATCCACCCTGACCTCCACTCCAGACTTCCTGGTACACAATAACAGATCAGAGACACATACTGCAGTTTGACACTGGGGTGAACAAATAGCAGTGGCTGAGAGGTATAGATTATTGTGAATGGCTGCAATCTGTTAAAGACCATTGTGCCAATCTAGTACCATGTAACATTTGCTATATAAACCTGAAAATCAGAGAACATTGCCCCTCTGATTGGTTAAAATGGCCCATTTATGGTATTAAGAACCACTTCCACCTAAGTGGGTGAGCTGGAAACAATATATTTGATTGAAACCTGGGAGAAATGTGGAGTGGCCCTACTCAGACCTCACTAGCTGGGAAATCTACCTCAATGCTGTCATCTTGACACCGCAAGGGTCCAATATCATTATCTTGTTCAGCCCCAGGCTTCTATTAACATACATCAATGGAAGAGCAGTGATAATTTTTTATCTTCTTAGTTTTTTTTTTCTTTTAACAAACTAAAGCTCGATTTCTTTCATTTTCAAAAACAAGGGTTTTAAGCCCCTGTCATTCAGAAAAATGCCAATTTCATCCCAGGGACTATTGCACATAAAACCTAAACATGTATATTCATCACTGGTCTCTGTTTAAATCTCTTTTATTATTAAGAATGGTTTCAAGCACTAATTATATGCCAAAAATAAAAATAATGACAGTCGAAACAGCACAAGCTTCCTTTGCTCATGGAATGTACTTTTGTGTGCAAGCCTCCTGTCTGTCTTCTTATGCCATAAGCATAACTTACTTACAACCACCTGCAGAGTGTGTTGGCAGAGTCGCCCAGCATGTGGTGGCTCTATGCCTAGAGGTTGTTTCCAGATGCAGGTTTGTTCAGAAATAGAAAGAGACAAGAAAGGAGTAAAAATTTCTCATATGTGATCTACCATTTATTCTACTGCCAGCTCAGTTTTTTAGCCATGCTAGAAATCTGCATCTTCTTATGTCATTTGAAAAATGTTTGCTGTATATATGTATGTGGTGAGCTAATGGCACAATACACTGGGGTTTGTCTTTAAATAGTGAGTTCAGCCATATTACATATTAAAAATAAATTACACTTAACTCTAAAGTAGCATTTACCCATGCAGCTAGATAAACCCGCCATGTTTTGAAATATCCCTCTTTGAGATTTCTGCTGCCCCTAAAATACAATTGATGAGTATTAATGTCTCTGTGGTGGTCACTAGACCAACCAATGCTGGATACTGACATTGATATTTAGGAGTTAAATCAGATAACAATATATTGGCCAATTGTATTTTTTTTCAACATTAACACATAACATAACCAGACATTCTTGATATGGATCCCTTACCGTTACATACTAAGCATGACATTTTAAGTGGTTTAAAAAAATCAGCTTGTCAGTGATCTCTGATGGAAAAACTATGTAATGGAGACCACTGTTCCTGAATGACCTTAAACCTACTTTGGCCTGGCTGTGCTGCAGTTTCTTGCTACTTATCAGCCAACATATACACATATACAGGTACATCAGGCGACATGTCTGTTTAGCTTTAGTGCTTAAAGTGCTAAGATTACATTTTGAAAAATTGAACCACAACATGTTTTTCTAGAAAAAAATGTCTGTGTTACTCGGGATATATCACCTCGCTGTTAACACTGTTAACAGTATTCATTGGATCTACTTTCTGACAAATTAATAGTTCCCATTAAAACTGTTGTGGCTCGATACCAGTAGAGATGCATGTTTCTTTGTTTGTTTTTTGCTTTGCCTTTTGTAATTTGTGTGAACGGAGGCTTTAAACATTGTAGATTTCTCTCTCTCTCTCTCTCTCTCTCTCTCTCTCCCCCTCTCTCTCTCTCCCTCCCTCTCTCTATCTCTTTCTCTCTCTCTCTCTCTCTCTGGCATAATTTCCATCGCCTTCTGCTGTGTATTGAAATACTTCAAAGTAATCTAAAAATAAGTTTCTTACCTGGAGGAAGCCAGGAAATAGTCTGGAGAGGCTATCAGTGCCTAATGCGTTGTTGTAGTTGTTGAACTACAACAAAGACATAACTACTACATTATGCATTCAAGCAATTATGCCTGGTCTTAACAATACGTCGAACCATCGAGCATTTATACATGCAGCCTTTCATTTAAAGACATACGGTATACAAAATACATGAGGTTTAATCACTGAAAATTGGTCTTGTTATCATGAAAGTAATGCATATGACCATGTATTTGTTTTCCTGAACCTAAAATGTCTATAATATCACTGCAATTTACTTTTCAATGGCTGCTGGAGGACTGGTTTCTGAATGATATCTGTCCATCTGATGTCGCCTTTCAGATGCAAATGATGAGCCAATGAATAAGGCCGTACACCTCCCAGTAGCAAACACTGACACACATGCACACACTCATGCTTGACCACTCTTTATATCCTAATGAAGTAAAGATTTTTGGCCTTAGGTTGCAAGCACAGCTAGATGAAAGACAGGCAACCGATCACTCTAGTGACACCAGAGAAGACCGGACGGGTTTGTTATATAAGTAATGGTAAAAGAATGGTAGGAGAAGAGGAGTAATTTGATAGGGCAGAGTGGATAAGTGGGCACCAGCTACTAGCCCGAGGTTCAGAAATGTGTTTATCTGGCTCAGCACAGGGTGCTTTGGGACGTTACTGTGTGTGCATGTGTGTCTGGTTCAGTTTTGTGCAAGCTTGTGTCTGTGTTTTGCCAGGATTGTTAATCATTTTTGTACCCTAACTGAAAAATTTAGATAATTTGAAAGGAGTTTGGGAAGCAGCAGAGATGTCGATAGAGCATTACAATATTACCCCGTGCTTTTTCTCCTTTAAATTAGATTGAATTATGTCTAATGTCTGTTTTTTAATGAACTATAATAAACACAGAAGCTACGAAGGAACATTATATATACTGTAATTATCTGTTTAGTTTCTATGAAAACCACAAAGGTCTTTATGATTCTGTGCTTATCTGTAGGGTGCAGGATCTGAGGGAGCTGGGGGAGCTTTCACCTCACTGGGACAACTTAAGGAAGGAGGTGATGACACGATATGGAGGAATCATCAGTTCCTACCAGGAGACCTTGGCTGAGCTGGACAAGATTACTGGTATGACAGCACCCACTAAATTTTGCATTCATACCTCTCTCCACACATACATTCATTCATACACATACAAAGGTGTTATGAAAACACACTTGGTTATGAAATAGTTCCAAGATGTCCTTGGCTCAGTCGCTTTCTTGAATGTCTGTTGATCAGTGATTCCGTGCCATTTCATATCATGAGCCATGTCTGTTTTCTGGTCTGGTAGATGTAAATCATCTTCTAATCGATTTTTATCATGGTTTGTCCTTGGATTTACAGAAATACTTTTTTAAAAATCAATTTTCCCCAAAGGATTGAAATGCAACATTGTGCATACAGCTGTACTTTGAAAAAGTTGAGGTAGAGCGACTGGCCATGGTTTGCAGATGGCACTGCATATCTTCTCATATCTTATCAACCGATCAATTATTTTCTAAAGTAGTAAATAAAAAAATTTGTTGTAGGAGGTGAGAGTAGTCTCTTATTGCAATGTGTGGTCCCTAAATATGGAGACGGGAGAAATTAAAGGAGTGAGGTATATAATGTCTGTAATCTGGTTTGACCTGTGCCCACGTTGGTTCTGTTATAACCCGGTCAAGCTGAAAACACTGCAGCAGACCCAAAGCTCTCAGGTTAAGTAGAGAAAGAGAGGACAACTTTGACTTGAAGGATGGATTCTGGGTGATTTATGTCGATGGAAAGCTTAGTGAGAGGTTGTTTTGTGTATCTACTTGCTGTCAAAGAGTTTCCATAGCAACACAGGTTTCATCAGGGGCAATTGAAATGTATGTGCCCATGTTTTCCTTTGTGTTTTGTTAAAGTAAGTGTTTGCAGTGTACATAAAAACTGGTACAAATCTCTGCCATGTGCACACAAAAACACAAGTCTTGCATCTCATTTACAAATACTCAGTGTTCTACTTAGTATGCAAATATTTTTGCACACTTTTTGCAAATGTTTTACATAATAAAAATTAATCCATGCAGTTAGCTTTAATGTGAACAGGGAAAGTAATTAGGCTGTTTCTCATTTGACATTCAACAAGGAAACACTGAACATGTGATAATGCCATACTAAGCCAGTGATGATGGGGTGTTTAAAATGCATTTGGAAATATGTAGGTGATGCATTTGTTGTGTTTAGTTTTAAAAACAGGGTGAAAACTCATACTACATACAAACAGTGTACTAGGCGTTGACATAGACTCATTTTATTGTACAAAACAACAGCTGTTTGGTGTGCGTAATACATTATGTGTCTCTGTCCTCAACCAAACTCATTAAATTATTTCTAATGAAAAACTTAACAGCAAAAGCAGATAGACATTTAAAAGTTCATAGACTGATCAATCTCTCTGGATTTGTCCTGTTTCATTCCTTTCCCTTTTCTTCATAATCTCTTCCTATGCATAGCTTAGCTAGCTCTGGACATAGAAACATTGTGGCTCTCGATTTACTCTCATCACCATAATGAGATATTTGTCTCTGTTGCTTTTTTGCTTTGCCCAGCTGATAAGAGATGAGGGTGGTTAAGCCTCTCCGCTGCCTGCCTGGGCTCTGAGGGAGGGGGTTGAGGGCGAGGGGAATGGATAATGTGGCGTTGGTCATTATGGTTTCTGACAAGTCCCTTGTGTGGCCCAGATGTTTCAATACACGGAGGAGCCCTCGCCCAACTCACCACTCTAATCCAGTCCTGCATTAACTTAACAGGATGACAGAAATGAAAACACAAGTAGGGTGGGCAAACTGCTGCAGATTAATTATTGATAACTGATATGATTCAAAAAGGTGCGAGTAGAGACAAAAAGAGAGTGTGGTGGAGGCTGAGCGTGAAGACCAGTGGATGAGCAGAGATGGAGGAAACAAGAAATTAAGAGATAATTACCAAAATGAAATAAATTGTGACAAATATGAAGATTGGCCTCACTGGTCTATTAATTGTACGTACATACAAATGAAGAAGGGGATGTATCTGTTTCTCACACTTTCAACATATTTATATGTAAGAGCTAAATGTCGGGGTATTTTAAGCTTATACACAGAAACTTCTCTCACATTTTATAGCAATGTCTAGGTCTTTAAACAGCAAAACAAAATTAATAAGAAGATGCAGAATATAAAATGCTCCCATAGTATAGAGTTAGTATTTTCTACATTTATAATGGTGTTTTAAAAATAGTTGGGTCCTGCAGGTTTTTACATGGCTCTGAGGGATTGCTACCCTTAAAAAGGGTTATTTGTACATTCATATTAATTAGAAGCTGACTATAATGCACATACAATTTAAGGTCAGTCCTGAGTCAGGAGGATTTTAATGCACAAAGAATAATTGGCAATCTGTGCACTTTTAATTTAATTGTAATTTGTAAGAAAGAAAACAAAAACAGAAAGTTAGAGAAACTGCAGGTGGTAGAATAAGTAGAAGAAGAAGAAGCTCTCCTCTGGGAGGTTTAGGAAGAGTCCCTGTGTTCAGGTTCAGCATATCCATTTTTAATGATGAGCTGACCTCAGCAAATACTTTAGATGCTCTAATAACTGTACTCCATTCATAAATTAGTCATCCCTACATCCATTGTTTACGAGCGGGCAAATTAAAGGCACATACATAATCCCGTCAGCAGGGCGTTTGTTGGACCTCCAGTCCTGCGAACACTTCTCTGCACAAATCTGTCAGTTACTCCTACACTCCACTCATGGCATGACTACAGCTTAAGGCCCAGAGCTACATATTGTAGATTAAGGTAGTGTCATATATCTGTGGGACTGCAGTAAAGCTAGTTATTGTATAGATAGCAAGACAGATGGACATGATAGCTCATATCTTACTTTCTCTCTGTAATATCTGTATTAGAACAGTAGTCTCTGCAGTTGTGCCTCCAGGTAAAGATGTTTCGCTGTGAAATGCAGACATTTGCTATTTTAAGTTATGCAGTTAACATTCAAAATTGTAATAATAAAGAAGTGGCACTAAAAATAAAACTATTAAAAAAAAACAATAGAAATAAATCTGTATTAAAAGAAAAAATAGACAGAAAAAATGGACTGTAAGACATGCCTGACTTGTCTAATATTCACTCTTCTCTGACTGATTCCACCATTCACACAGCATGTGTCCACTCCTCCTCTGTGTCTACAACATATCTAACTGTGGATTGATTAAAAAAGCCTGCTGTGCTCTCAGCACCACAGGATCATGAAGGTGAAATCCTTAGCATGCTTAAATAGACCTACATTGATCTTAGATACCTGACACTTAAAAGCCTTGGTTTTTCCAGTGGTGGTATTGGTGTTGGTATGATATTGGTTTTACTGAAAAGTGGCTTAGAGCAAAGAAACGGCAGAAAAGATTAAAAGAAGAGATACTGACCAGATGTTGGTCAGAACTGCTGGCATGAAGCCCTGCTGTCACATAGCCAGCCCACCTGGGCAGACAGATGGAGATCTGATATGGCTAATTCATCTAACCTACAACGGTCACTAGCTCGATTAGCCCGGTCCCCAGTGCTCTACAGCTGACAGTGGGAACCCATTGAGCAGGGATGGCAGCTTTAGCCACTGACTGGAATATTAGCCTTCGGAAACAGCTCCCAGCACAGAAATGTGTTGAGGTACATTGAGGAAACTGGTTTACTTCTAACTTGGTGAAGAAATTTACAAAAACGGTATATAGGCCAAGAGTTTTTATTTGCCTGCTAAACATCAGCATGTTGGCATTGTCACTGTGAGCATGTCAGGGTAATGATATTAGCATTTAACTCAAAGCAGCACTGTGCCTAAGTATAGCTTCACAGGGCTGCAAGCATAGCTGTAGACTCCTTTTCTTGTTGAGCAAATTGTTGCATCCCTTGACCCTCGGGACCTCTCACAGTATGTATGTCTTGGCCTTGGCAGTGAACTTGTCGACATCTAGTAGACATCAGATATGCTAGTAGCCAAAATGTATTGGTAGTGTATGAATTATTGAAGGTCCTAATGTTTTTCTGTACCTATTACTGGGTGCATTTAGTTTGCTAGACTGCACATGTCTACATGAGGAGCTCGTTTATTTATTTAAACAAACTAGACAAACTAGACAAAACGCACAATACAAAGTTACACACAGTAGTACATCATAACCAAACAAATTAAAGGTCTTATATTTTATACCTTTGTGTGTTGATGTCCATAAGAATGTATATTTGTGGTTTTAGGTACCAAAAAACATCTGAATACAGTTTTACATCTCCTCTCTCAGGCTTCTGTCTGGAGCTTTAGCAACAACAGGGCATTTTTTGTCAGTCTCTGAGCCTGTCTTCTTATTGGCTGACTGTTTTGTGAGTGACGCACGTCCAAGCTTCCTCAACGTTTTTCTGTCTTGTAGCTTTTACTAGCTCTGCAACGGAATGACTGCTAGGTGTTGTTTTCAACAACAACAAACAAAAAACTATGGAAGGTGGGTCCGGGTGTGTCCTGTGGTGTGGTCATATCTTAGGGCGGTGACTGTTTAGTTGTGACATCACAAAATTATGAAAGCCCTGACGGCTCTTTTTAAGGCGCTGTTTCTGAATACTGGCTGTGTTCTTTTCTTTGTGGACTGAGCGCTTTCATACTTTCACAGTATTAATGTAGAACCTAGACCTGCTTTATAGTAAAAAAAAAAAAAAAAAAAAAAGATGGAAGTCTCACTTTCTATATGGGGCCTTTAAAAGCAAGGATTTTTGTATACAGTGCAATACTACAGTATGAGTTGTTCTTCGCTATAATTACTCAGCAGATTTTATATTCAGTGGTTAGAAATGGCGTCTCTTTGCATTTGCACTTTGATAAGTTGCAGCAAATCTGTCACCACCATAGTAAGAAGACATAATTGATTCTCAGTGTTTGAAAATAATAAGGCGTATCGCTGTTAGCTCCAGCTGAGTCATAAGTGTTATCCATTTCTGAGGTAACACATTTCAACTTGAGTGGGTCAGAAATGTCAGCATTTTATCCAGTAATAGAGGTACGGTGGATTTGTTTTCATGTTTGGCCAACCTGCCAAATGGTGTGGCAGGTAACAGGTTTTAACATTGACCTTCTTCAATACTGGAGCTCTAATTAATGTATACTGTTTTTTTTTCGGGGGGAAAGAGTGTGTATAGCTCAGTTAAGTTCGGCACATGTCAGACAGACAAGCTGGAAAGCGTGGAAGGGTTCACGTTGCATTTTTGTTATTATGCTGCAGTGAACAGACGGTATGAGCTACAAGGAACACACTTTGATCCTCCCCGCCATACTGCACTACCACTCAGACGCACAAATGAAATATGTCCAGTAAGTCAATAATCTGTAACATATGAGCTGTTAATAAAAATATTTCCAGTCATAATATTCAGAAACCGTAGCAGTTTGGACGGGACTACAGATTGGTGGTGCTATAAATGTCTACAAAACGTAAGACTTTACTTTAGAAGTTTATAGAGGAATCATTGTTACGTTTGTTACTTTACATTTATGTCTTTGGCACATGCTTTTTCCCAAAGTGATGTACAAAAGCTATTTATTAATTATTGAATTTGACATATGAATATATATTGTACTCAACAGCTAGCATGCATATAAAATTCATATCTTTTTATATATGCCAATAAGTCACTGGTAATAAGGTCATTTTAAAATATTACTCTATTGCTGATTGTTATGAACCTAACTCTCCTCATAAAAGCTTTTGTTCTTTAGTTGTTCTGAACACCTGGTATTGGGTAGGTCTTTCCTGGGGAAAAATCACCTCCTCTGGTTCAAAGGAATATGATGATGTTTTTTTTTCACATTAGTAAGAGCAGTTTGCTTGAAAAAAAAAAAAAATCAAAGAATCCTGGGGTGGATTCTACAGTAAGCCAAGATAAGCCACAGCCTTTGTGGGCAGAGAGATGACAGAAGAGCGGTGGAAAAAAAACGTAAACTTTATCAACAGACAGTTTAAGGTCAGACAGTTTAAGGGTAAGATGTCAAATCCCTGGAAATAATGGTCTGTGTCAGATGATCTCTGTGATCTCAGAACTGCCAAATTTAACTATCACAAAAGATAATGTGAAAAACAATGAAATAAAATTTTGTAGATGTAGGAATAAGAAAGAATGAAAGAACCCACTGAAATATAACAGTAATAGAGAAAGTCTATGCAGTGCTTTACTAGCTAACATGACAAATAGGCCTAATACAGTGAGTTCACTTATAATGAAAATTAACAGATGCCACTCCTCAATCACACTTACTTGCATATTCTCACACTTCAATTACAATAATTTACAGTAGTTTTTACATTACAATTGGGATTAATGAATAACATTGACATTGCTCAACATACATTCCATCAATGATCCTCTATAACTTCTACAGCCATGTAACTCGTTCATACAAGCTGGAAAACATGAAACCTTTTTTACTGGTTTTGGAGAAAGGAGAAAGTCCTGTGTCATTAAAAGAGGATTTAATTAAAAGTTTCAATGTCAAAGTAGATGAAACTTTGTAATATGACATGTTTTTGGTCTTCTGTACCTGTTCTGAAGACTTTCATTTTAAGTGAATTACGTCTACAACACTGTTAAAATTTCCTCTGCTGCTTGATTGTTCTTAGAAGCTGAGCCTCATCTCAAAGAGGCTCATCAACCCTATTTACATATTTGAGATTTGAGCAGTCAACATGGAGAGTCAGATTGTGATTTTGAGCTCAACTATAAGCCACAAACAAAGAGTATCATTTGGCAGAAAATTTTAATTGGACGTTCTGAGCAAAGCAGTGGCGGCAAAGGGCATAAAATCCTGTGCTTAAAGGATTACACTGCACATTAGTGGACGTCATAAGCAGCTGATTGAAAATTAGCTATTTTTGAGATGCTTGTTCATCTGTAATTGATATATTCTCTGTTTGATATATATGTATGTAGATGTGCGTTAAATTATCTTGCCTGGACCATTAAAAATGGAATGGCTTGTGTGTTTTAAATAGTGTTTGTGTAATCTGTGACATTTTATCTTTCAATTCTGCTTTCTTTAGGAAAAAGTCTGGGTAAATTGGGTTTTACTACTTTGAAACTTTGATTGTAAGATTGTTAAAGTATATTCTGAAAGCTTCTACTCATTAAGCAACCACTCACTGGAGACAAATGAAAATCATCATTGGATTTTATACATTCACCTCAATTTTTCTTTGAATATTGTGCCAATTAAGTTGTGAAAATCTCCACAGCCTAAACAATGTGTAATTGAATCTGCACTACAGCTGCTCCTACAACCTTTAACTTCAATGGATTTTAATTTGGTGTTATGTACTCCCTTTTGTAATTCAGTTCTTCATTAAATAGATCTCAAGTCATTCAGTTGCACACAAGTTTTCTTTTTATGGGAAAATCAAAGAGAACATTTAAACATCAATCCAATTTTCTTATCTAATGTTTGCTAATCTGTTTCTGTGTCTTTGTTCCTCTTTTCATAAGAACATTAACAAGACAATAAAGAGAAAAAAACACATAAAGCACTAATGTTGGAAAGATCCTAGTATAGCTATAGCAGATGGTAAGAGCTTTCTGTAAAACAGGAGGCTATATTAGGGATGTTTTTACCGCTTCACCAACACAATTATGTTTCATGACAAAATGACATACTCGTGTCTCTGTTTTTTCAGGTCGGTCATTCAAGCCAAGCTGCTGCAAAGCCCAGAAATCTCTGGAGTTCATCCCAATAAACCTGCACACCCAGCGGATGAGGGTGACATGCCCCAGAAAAACAGGTATTACATGACTGCCTTAGCCTTGTCCTGGACTTAATGTTACACTTACCAACTTCATGCCTCATCTAGATCGGCTCAAAAGCACCTAGGTTCAATGGAATAGAGCTCTTTGAGCTGAATCGGTTGTAACCTAAAATACAGCTTCCACAACATATGACACACATTTCTATAAATTGAAATTGCTGTTGGTTTTCTATGCCTGACATCTCCATCTGTCAGGGATACTCAGTGGGCTGAGACAGGGTGGTTCTAGGTCCTCACCCAGGCTGAAAGGTGAGAGTTAACTTGGCCTGGGAAAGATACTCAAAATGCTAATTAAGCCCTTTGCGTTTTTCCAGAGAGAAAGACCAGGCTGTCTTGCTCTAGCCCTGCTCTCTGGCTGGCAGAGTCTGTTACTGCCCTGGAACTGTCTCAGTGTACTAACTGTGTATCACGGCAACTAGCTGCCGCCTCACTATCTGTTTGTGGGCTCCATTTCAACTATACACTCTGTGATTGAAGGAAAGTTATAGACGGATAAATCTTGACATAAACTGTGGCTCTTTCAGTGAAGACATCAAGAATGACAGATAAAATAAGTAAAATGAAGACATCATACCATCCTGCTACTGTCTGGCACTGTCAAGACAGAAAAAGGGGGAAAAATCAAAATAAAACAAGCTTTAGAAGAGTTTGTCAATGGAGTGATTGACACACTGATAGTAACCCTCTGTTGGCCCAATTCACATTTTGTCTCAGTTTCAGGCAGGCACAGGTTTCTGTGTGATTATACTCCATTAGACTGCAGTAGTACCTGGAGTAACACTCCTGAAGGATACACATGGCTCCCATCAGCTTCATGATAATAATTAAGAAATCTGGGTGATTTTTAAAAAAGTAGTGATACCGAAAGGGCAAAGAAATAGCTGAGTCACAAAATGTGATGTTTGTGTCAAATCGAGACACATCGAGAATATTTTCAAAAAATGATATCAACCTCAGTAAATGTTTCATTGAATGAACTTTCATGCACAAGCTGTCTATTTCCCTCCTTTTCCCCTATTCTTAGACTGCACATATTCTCATCAAACATGTCAATTAAATGTCTGAGGGATCATGAAAAGAGACATCGCTAGACACGTGCAGTGTGCAGAAATTCACTGAAGTGTGAGCTTTAACACATAACCTGTGAGCTGTCCTTCTTCATATTGGGTTGTGCATTATTCAGTGACACAAGATAACTACATATCCATGTCATTCATCATTGACTGTCTGTAATCTATACCCACATTAGTATAAGTGTACAGCATGTATATGTTTGATCAGTATATAAACAGTCAAAGGGAAACAAAATTCCATCAACACTAAAATATATAATGTATAATGTAGATACTATAATAATTGTCCACACAAATGCAATAAGAAATGTATCTTTGGATATATATAAAATATCCTACAAAATAGCTTTAATCTAAATCTCCACTGATTTAATTGTGTTTTCATAAACAGTATACACTCAGTTGGCAGTTTATTAGGTACACCTAGCTAATACTAATGCTAGTCTAGTTTAGTCTAATACAGGCCTGAAATAAACCAAGATTCATGAAGGTTCAAATGTTCAGTTTTTGTTTAAACTAATTAGAGAGATGTTGATTCAACTGAAATCTGCACTTTATGGTGCTGTTTGCATTATACTAAGAAGTGATTCTATTTTTTTCGTCTACCTTATTTATATCAATGACTGTAGGCCAGATAACAAACACTTCTGTGAATAAAAAAACTGCTAACAAGACGATTGCACCAAAATGGCCATTCAGTCTGAATATCTACTACTACTACACTACTACTCCTCTAGTTTTAATTTACAGTAATAACCTTGTCTGGTATTGAATTACTATTGAATTGCATATTTTTTTCGATTTGAAAAGGAAAAACACGTGGAATAAATGATTGCAATCAGTCATACACAGGAAACATGAACCCGCTCCTTAATGGAGCTGAATCTCAGTTTCCAGCCGTAGTCAATTGCTCTATTGTTCCATTTGATTTTCTGAAGTGATGCATTTCCTTGAGTTTGGCTATGCAATCCACTCCACAACACTGAGCTATTCATTTTCATTTTGTCTATTGATCATCCAGCAAGAAAAGGAAATCGGGAGGAAAAAAACACGTTGAGCTCAAAACAGTATTCATTTGTTTTTCTGGGAATGGCGGTCTTCTGTCTCTAAAATGACAACTGCAAAATATTTCCAGCCTAAAAAGCTCAGCTTGGCAAAGCTGAACTGAAAGCATTGTTCAGCACTCATTTGGGTCAAGTAAAAGGATGTTTTCTCATTGTTAAACAGGATTGTGGAATGGGTTAAGTATGAATAATAACCACTCATCCTGACTGCCACAATCAATTTCCTCTTTTAGAAAGAGATTGTCTTCATTCCGCACTTAAACAGCTTGTTCTGCTGCTGATGTATTGAGAAAAGGATGGTGTGAGTGTAAGAACAGGCAAATCAGGCACAAATTGGTCATTGTGCTTGATGTTCTGAAACCCGCCATTGTATTCCAGTGTACTTCTGCTGTGGGAGAACCAATTAAGGGAACTTGGACATCTGAAAACTCTAGGGGCCAAACGTGTGGAGGACAGGGAGCCTCGTGGCAAGGCACAGGGATAATTAATGGAAGAAGCAGTGGGTAGTAGCAAAGCCCCAACATCAAACCACTATTGGTCTATTGTGGTGTTGTTAAGGGATAGGAGACTGTTGGTCATATCATTCACATCTCTGTGGCAACACTTGGAGCTGTGTTGTGTCATTAATTTCTATTTTCAACAATTTTTCAAGCAGTGTTTTCCTACGGTCAGAGCTATGCACTCTTGCTTTCCCAGGGGTGTTCATTAACTGACCTGGCACTAAACCACACCAAAATATTCACCCCCATAATCCCCCCTTCACTGTTTTTCTGATTTAATTGTCAGCCCCATCCATTACTCATTCAAAACAAGGCCTGTTGTAAGCACCTCTGTGCCCGCCTAGCCGTCTGTGAAGTGTTTATTTACTTCTGATGGTGGTGTGCAAATTGGAATGAAGCGCTGTGACATTGGCCGTCCTTCTGGTTCAGCATGGGACCAGCGCTACATTAAGACCAAAAGATGGTTGGAGAGAGAGGGCTGGTAATATAACAATAAAGACTCAATATAAATCAACAACAAATATGTTTGTCTAAAAGTGGAGAGTAATGTCATAGCCTCTTTTTTGTTCATTCATATGGCACATTTGTTGGTGCATAAAAGCCATTTGTGTGTGTTTATTGTATATTTTATGGAAGGGAACACTTCCTGGGAGCGCCATCTCACAACTTTCACATTTTAATGTGAATCAAAGCATTGAAACAACTGCATGGTGTATTCATAAAAACTAGATCAATACTCATGTCAGGTAAAGCTCTCAGCCTCACATACCTCATGCTGGGGAGAGAACACTCACACATGACACAAAATACTTGAACACAGGAATATAATACTACCGTATCATGTTCATATATCATACAAGATGATATATAAGGCTTTCATCCAGGAATGTTTTCATATTCATATGCAAGATACTTTAACATCATCAGCTTTTGATATAAGCCGCAACACATATTAGAGGCATTTCTGTAGATGATCAGTACAAGTACAACTCGAAATTAAATTTATTTTACAGGGATATTGTATTTTCTTGAATAATATTTTTCAAGGTCCTCCAGTACCTCCAGTGCTCAGTGTTTTAGACATCATCAACTCCCTTTTCTCTCTTTACAGATGCATTCTATGACATTGTCACTGTTGGTGCCCCTGCAGCCCACTTCCAGGGCTTCAAGTGTGGTGGTCTGCAGCGTCTCCTAAGCAGATACGAAGCAGAGAAAAAGAGGTAAGGAAGGCATTGTGTTTAGAAGGAAATGGGGGATTTAATACAGTATGCTGAGGCGGAAACAGGCTTGCATTGACTAAAGAATTTAACCTGGGCATAATTGATAGTGACAGACAAATTTGTCCCTGGCCTATGAACCTGATTTTCCAAGCCCCATACAGTTACTTACAGCCAGGCCATGTTGAACTTAGAATGGAACTACACTGCCTCTGACAGCTCAATTTGACTGGAGGCAACAGGCATGATGGAAAAGGTTTGTTGAGTTGCTCTGCATTGGTTCTTTTCCCTGGCAAGCTTTTTCTTCTTGCTTTTGAAGATGAATGTTAACTTCTCACTGGAGAGCCATCCATTTTTCTACAAATTCCCAGCTGCCAGCTGCAGCTCACTTGAATTCAAAACCAAATGGTCAGACTAAGGTTTTAAGAATGGGAGAAATTCTCAGCTGAATTTTTGTCACTACAAAAGTTATGAGTGTGTAAAGTGCACCTGGATAACAATCCATAATAAGTAACTGCCAAATGAATGTACAATACACACAGTAATAATCAGTCATGATTTATTATATTTCACATATTTCATAATATTTCACAAGGAATCCTTAACCTGAAAAACTACAAATTCTTAGAAGAAAAGCTGAGCACTGTACCAAGAAGTCTGAGCTATGTGCCGGCTTTGCTCAGACCAAACTAGAGATTCATACAAAGATAGATGTATATGCTCATGCAGTGCCTGAAAGTCACGTCTTCAAACCTGAGATCAGCAGTATCCTGTAAATTTTGCTGTCTTTGCCCTTTGGTTCAGGGATGGAGGTATATGTCTCTGGAGTTCAGTATGTGGTCACTTGAGTGATGCCAGAAGAAATGAAGGGTGATTTTTCCCAAAGCTCCCCATAGAGTGCAAAGTCATTACAGACCATGCCAGATCCAATTAGTTACAGAGTTTGCAGCTCAAGAAAAAGGGGAAGAGAGGCAAGATGGAGAGGGGTGAGGTATGGGTATAAAATGGATAAGTTGATGGGAAAATAGTTGGAGGCCTATGCTGATAATAAAAAAAAAAAATAAAGAAAGGACTTCTTTACGCTAAAGTGCACAAGTACATTTGCTGAAGATGGTCAGTTTTATCTGCTAGAATGAACTATGATAAGGTTAGCATATTTTTGAGAATCCACTGAAGTGAAATTATTTTCTTTGAATGAGAGATTAGACTTCAGAAAGAATTCACAGGGGAGACATAGCTTTTTGTTTCATATTTGACTTAGCTAATGACTCACTGTAGCTTAAATTTTCCAATTTTCCGCCTGGCTAACTGACTACGGCCTTCGCTAAGCCTTATCCGTTTGACCTGGAATGCAGTCGTTTGTCAGTCAACGTCAGAAATAGGAATAAACTCAGTTCCTCTGTGAATCCACAGTGGCCATTGTTATGAAGATGTGTGTTTACTTTAAATTACACACATTTGCTATTTCGCGGTTTAATTTTCTTTTATTATACATGCACTAAATGTCTGACAAAATATTTAGCCTAGAAGAACCTGATGAGGTGTCTCTGTTGTGTGTGAATGTGAAGTACTGTAGTCATGTGTGCTGGTCCAATTGAGAGTCACTTAATTGCTCTGCAAGTCAGCCTATTTCACCAGACCAAAGATTCATCTGCGCACACACACACACACACACACACACACACACACACACACACACACACTCACACTCACACTCACACTCATACTTCTCCCAGTTTGCCTCCTTGCCTTTCAGAAGCAGCCTTTTGTAATCACATTTGATTAAAAAGGGGACAATCTGCAAGATGTGAGACTTGGCTATTCAATTTGATATTAATTCATCAAAGAGAAGATGGAAAAGGATTGAGGAAGGGGGGGAAAAAAAAGAAAACCTGAGCACAGAGGTGTTACCAGGAGGGCAATAAAAGAGCTATTCGTCTTTGTTCCCTGGACACTAGAAGAGAAGGAGGGGTGTTCTTTCCAGATCCATTAAAAACCTGCATTGGTCAAACTTGGCAATGACCAGAGTATGCAATGTAGTTTGTCTCTCAGGATGGGCAGGAAAGAGTTTAATCAATAGCTACACTTAGTATTCCTCCAGATACCCTGCACATGTACACACAGGGCAAGAGCATTTATCTTTCATTAATGCGTACAGTCCCACTTAAATGGCTGTTTTAAAAGTCACTGGATTTTTATCCGTTTTTAATTGAACCCTATAGACATAGCTGTGGATTTGCTGATGTGGTCTAATCTTTCATTAACAGCCTCTGTTGAATTATTCAGTTAATCTGCATAACGATGCAACACACTTTTTTGGAGACAGATTTTATGGAACTTGAACAATTTTTTTTGAACTGCACTGATGGTGTGTACGTGTCTGGGCGTAGAAGATATAGTACATGTTTTTGACTTGCATACAGTTTTCCAGCAGAATGTTGGAAAGATGCCTTTTTGTAAGGTCAACTGTGTCTAGTTGGTGCAGAAGCTGTGCAGTAGAGTCCTCTCTACATGTGTCTTTGAATTCTGTATGGAGAGGAAGGAAGCCCTGTCATTTTGCCAGGCCTCCTGGTCAAGCAGGGCTGCCGGATGACACATTTCTAGGACACAGAGAGTGGTTGAAACTACATTGCGCACGTTTAATAGAGTCTCTTGGGGCCGATGTTCAGATTTAATGTGACTAGCAGCATGTTGTCCAACAAAATAACTTCCTCCCAGTTCTTCTATGTGCATTTGAGCGACAGGACATTGGCAGTGGCTGGGACTCCATGCTGATGGACAGCAGCTTGGTAGTTTTTTTTTTGCCTGATCTGGAATCAGCCTACTCCAGGTTCTGTGGGGACGTTGGCAATATCCTTGAGGCTTATCTGGTCTCAGATCAGGGTTTCTAGCTCGTGTCTGAACCACTGAGGAAAGCGTTGGCTGTTATTCTGAGAACTGATGTGAGATGGGTGCCCAATGGGGGATTCAACAACAGATGGGAATTTGCAGTTTAAAAGAATCTGGTTTAAGATCAGTTCTTCCAAAATATGTCTATAGCAAACTTAATATTTTTACTGTGGCCATAAGGCAGTGGCCTGGTGTGAAATCTATGATTAGAGTGTGCTGTCTAAATGACGAAGGAGGCTTTGGCAGTCACCTGGAGTGCTACAGGGCACTCTGCTGACGTAGCTGCATTTTACTCCTGCTGGCTGTCAGCAGCAGGCCACAAGCTCTTCATTAATTTTCTCTCCACTATTAATTAGCCATGCGCTGGAGATGTTGGCTTAATTAGGCCGCTGGGCCCAACAGTTTTCTCTGTCTCATTACTGTTATAACCAATTTCTATTGATCATTTAGGAAAACCAAGGAGGAAGTTCCTGGCCACACTGCTAGTTTCAGTGATGTGTTAGCAGACTAGAGCCTCATCCTAGACTCAAGTTTACCTGATAAAGTGCTGCCCCACTAATGTCTGAGCACCTTTTTCCAGGAGATCCAGTGCTGTGTGTCTGTGTGAAATTTGAATTATAAGAGGATAAAGCGCAATAATTTCATGAATCAAAGTGCAGGGGCAAAGCACAGTCAGGTTCACCGTGCATATTGTGCAGAGGGAGTGGTAGAACACCTCCTGTGTTTTTATGGCCGGAGGCGCGTGGTGCACTCAGGGTGAACGTAAATGAGGTGGGATTAAGAAGAATCCATTATCATACATTATCAGTGAGTGTGTTGAAGTCTGGCAGCAGTCCTTTCTAAAAGCATTGCTCTCCCAACAAAGATGTACTGATGTCATGTAATGGAGTCTGGAGGAGCTTCACCTAAGAGGAAACTAATACTGTCTCAGAGGATGTTGAGAGTTGCAGAAAAGAAAGAGAGTTGTTGAAATACAGAGCGAGCCCGAATACATCTCTAAGGCTGGATGAATTGAATTATTGTCTGTGAACATATGGAAAATCTAGCAGTCTCCTTTGTTTTCTGGAGTAATGCTCCATTTTATTTGAAATCCTAGTGGCTGCTTTCAATTAGCTCTTACGTGCATCAATAATGTCACAGCTGCCAAACAAGGAATAAAACAGTTCTGTGTCATGTCTGTGTCTGTGTAAACTGAAAATTACTGTAATGAAACTGGATGTAAGCCACAAATACAGTAACTGTGGTGCTTTTATAAGAGGTTCTTTTCTCCAGTCACACAACTCTTAAATTTAACCAGCACAGTTACATGACCAGACATAACCCTGCTCTACAGTGCTATACCGTGCTGCTCTTCACAGCCACAAGTCAATCTTTACTGCATGTGTCAGGAGGATGGCACAGTCTCCACTGTGCACTGCACTGCATATACTGGGATGCTGTGTAGATCTGGCACATGTAACTGAAGTTTGACAAAGTGTTCCACGCAAATTAATGACTTCAGATGGAAAACAAACCTGACAACTTCAGATGGCTTTATAGGGAGTTAATCAGCTAAAAGCGGAGGCCTTTGAACATGCAAGCTGTTATGGATAAGAGATGCTGATAAAGATCGAATATTAAACTTTACTCTGCATCCTGGAATTAGTGCTATAATTGGAGTATAACTCTGTGCAATTAGATGTGTCTGCAGGTAAGATTTTTTAATGACACAAATGCAGACAAGCAAAACATGAATTAAAGGGCTTGTGTGATTTTAAAGAGGTCCATAAGGATCCGATGCTGGTCACTATGACCGGCGATAATGAGTCATAATATATAATTTATGTGAACTATAAAGGAGTCTGTACAAATAAGTCCCTTTCATCCACTGTAGCTCCAATTAGAGAGAGTCAACTGAAATACAATTTGTGGGTACATTAGGAAGCTCTGCTCATGAGGTGGTAAGTCTTCATACATGTAGAGGTTTTCTTGCAAAGGACTGTTGTATTTATTTGACCGTGGCACAGTGAAATTGAGCCTGTGCATCACATGTATATGGTTCCTTCAGGAGAAAAAAACCCAATTCATTTGAAATGCTCTTTACTCCATGTGTGGAAATGTAAAATAATGAGTCTCTTAGGTTTATACAGTACACGAATCACATGCATGACTTAAAGTTTTACATAGTTGTGCCTCACAGTAAACATTTGTATATAAAAAAAAAAACAATTCCCAGCGCTGCTACAAGTACAAATAACCATCTCACTTTACTTTTCTAAGGAGTTTTCCACTTTCTTTGTGATTATTTCAAATAATATAGTGCCACAATGCAAACAGAAACGATAGATCAGGGACACAAAATGGTCAGAACAAATAACACCTGCATAAGAACAAAGTAATCTGTCCAGATTGCAACATTAAAATAAGTCTGCTCTCCACCTACAAGCAGTAAATAACAAGTTCTTCTAGGAGCTACTTTAAATAAAAGTTAAGGATTTAAGCAGTAGGAAGGCTTTTATAAGTTCAGTTGTGCTGTGAGTCAGCTTGAGGCTAAGTCCTGCCAACCTTAGACCTACACAGATGAGAAGACTTTTCTACTCTTGTACATATTTACAGTATATGGTGCTATTCAGATGCAGACTTCAATCACCTCCTGTCTGTCATATCCTCGACAAAAGATAAATAGTCTAAGCTCCACAAAGGTAGTGTTTATTCCAGCACTGTTGGTATTGGATTATATGATGCATTTTTGTGTCCACCCCCTGATTTATTGGTGTTGTAATTTAAAAACTTGGCACACAGCACTGCCAAATTACATCAGGGATGGGAAACATACCCAAGGTTTGAAATGACAAGCAGACCCTCATGTGCAACATCCCCTTTGGTTTTTCATCAAGTTTGTATTCACAGATTTATGCTGCTTTACCTTTGCATGGTTTGCCGTCTTGCTTGACCCTGTCTGGACTGACAGCAATGCTGATGAGGCAATTAAAGTTCCTTGCCTTAGCCAGCCTTAGAGGGGATCAATTCTGTCCTCCAGCATCAGGTGGCAGGTCCCTACATTCATTATTGCCTGCATAGTCTCCCTAATGGGATTGGATTTGTACTTATGAGTCAACAGGGCTGTTATTGAATCTCAGTTGCTGAAGCTATTGTCCTCTTCCAACAACTTTCTCCTCTGCCTCTTTTCTGGGGTGTCTCTATTGTTGCAGTCCTGTAGGATTTTTTCTCTTTAGTTCTGCATAGTGTAGTTAGATGAATGTAAGCTCACAAGGGATGAAAGGCTTTTACAGACCTTACTTTGTCGCAGTAGATTATTTAATTTTTGACTTCTGTGTGGCTGAAATCTTAGTATTTGAAGGTATGGTTATGGAAGCGAGGATAACAGAGTAGAAATGGTGGCGTTCTGTGCGGCTGAGTGTTTCAAACTGTTTGCCCTGTGTCTCCCTCTCACTTAGTGATTCCTTTGATTAGCTTTGAGCTTGTGGGTGGTAGTCCTCCAGGGTGCTCATTAGCTGTAATGACAAGGCCAAGATTTTAAAGTTAGCCAGTCAAAGACATAGTTAGTGGCTAGTATCTACTATGCCTAATTTGTTAAGGCCTTGAGATTGTCACACTTATTGATACATCAGGTAGTGCTGTTCTACACAGGGCGACTTCTAAAGACGCACTTTCTTTCCCTCAATGCAAAATTTTTTCGGCACACTGCAGAGAATACTGTATTATGCCAGCCCTTTGTGTGTGCCCCTCCCAGCCTCTCTCTCTCACTCTGTCTCTCTCTCTCTTATGTCAATTATGCCTTAGGATCTGGCTCTGGGGTCTGGCCTACATACACGCTTGCAGAGCTGACTCTAAACTAGCTGGGAGGGTTGCAAATGACTGCCTCTCTCCACGCTACATCTGATGGCAGGAAGTCAGTGGAAACTCATTGAAAGTCACTGGAACTTTACCCGAGGAGAATGTTTGATTGGAGTGATTTGCCCTGAATCTTGAAACTGACAAAAGGTGTTTTTGTCTGAGATTAAATAGCTCCCTTGAAATGAAGAAGGGATTAATTATTCATAAAGCGAAAATGGGTTGACATTGGACTGCAGGTCTAATTTAACAGTTCAGACTGAGTACCTGGAAAGCGTCACTGCTGAACATTTTCAAGGCAGCAGAAAAATGAAATGAGCTCAGAAAATTAGTGCACCATAATGTAATGTTTACAATCAGTAAATTCCCATTATTCATGTATTTGTCAATACTCATCTCAAGATAATTAATATCCCTTTGAATACCCCTCTATATCAACATTTTAGTCAGATGAGAAAATAATTGATGTAAAGCTTTTCTACTGTTGTTAGATAACATGTTTTTTCAGTTCTCTACTTTAAGATCCATGTTGTGTATAATTGTTTTTTATGTAATCAGCTCTGAATCTGATTTATACGTATGATACAAGGTAAATACAATTATGTGCCATTTCTAGCTGTTAGGAAAGGTTACGCTTGTTATTTCCAGCCGGGCACTTAAATCAGATGTTCTACCTGGGGTTTAGAGCTGCTACAGTTAAGTAGCAACTAGGAGTGGTGCATCACTTTCTTCGTGTGTTGTATCTTTATTGCAGATGCTATGCATGGTCTTATCACAGAACATACTGTTCTGGATAGGAAAGCATTGACATATACTTGAGTTACACCTTGTAGGAAAAAAACCTGATCTTGATCAGTTGTCCATGTTTGGAGTTTTTGTTTCAGGGCTGTTGCCTCCAGATGGAGCAGGTGAAGCAGCATGTAGCTTGTGGCTTGTTTGATATCAAATACTGTCTCTTTCTACTCTGCTAGTTTTGGCACATGCCAGTGGCAAGTGGACACTAAGAAAACCAGCAGCACTGATCTAAACGAAACAGCGTCTGTCCAGTATGGCCACAAATCTCATTATAAGCAAGTGTGGTCCAGTTTTAAAATCAGATTTGGGTCACTTTCATTTCTATTCTTAAAATTGATATCCAGTGCTGTATCCAGCCCATGGCCATGCAACTGTAGCAAAATCTGTTGAATCTGAATTGATGTGTTTTTTCCTCTGCCACAGCTTCAGCACTGCCTACCAGTGTATCTACTACTCTCCAGAGCACACAGCCAAAGCTCAGGAGGTACTCAGCACCATGAGCCTCCTCCAGCCCCTCATCACAAGCTTAGCGGACCAACTCCTCCAGGCTGCCCAGGAGCACTCTTCAACTGGGATAAAGGATGCACTCAAGAACCTTTCTGACAAGGTGAGGCAACCTCCAAATCCTTCCCCCACCTTCCCTTCCATCTCCACTATCCCTTTATTCCTCCTTGCTACAATACACAAAGCATCACTTTTATTCTTGAACACATCACCAAACATCGACAGGTAATACCTCACCCTGAAAAGCCTTTTAATTTAATCTTTAACTGGGGCAATAAGTTCATTTAAACCCATATTATCTAAAAACTATTCAATTATTTGCTATGGGTTTCTGCTGCTGATCCTATAAGCAATTGTTTTCCTGGTGGAGCTGAAATCTGAGGACTATTCAGTGGATATATTGGCTTAAACTGACTGCGACACTAAATGTTTACCCTCTCAGAGGAGTTACCCTATAAGAGTGATTCGATACCAGCTCTGGTAATATCTTTCTGCTAGTTTCATTGCAAATAAAAGCTGCAAATGCAACAAATTCTCAAAATAACTTTAATAAAAAATAAAAAACTTTAAACCCAGCCGTTGATTCAATACATTTACACACACACACACACACACACACACACACACACACACACACACACACACACACATATGGACACGCTAAACAGACAACCTCAGGAAAAATCCATAACTCATCATAAAAACGCCAAACTAACAAAAGTGAATAGCAACATGGACGTTTATGGAGCTGAGGCGTTTTTATCAGTATAATTAATGAATTACATCTGGTGCTGTCAGATTGCAATCTGTTGTGGGAGAGATTGTTTTTGCCACAGTGGAATAGAGCCCAATCAGCCTGCTTAATTGGTACATTCGCTCTGTCACCACTTCCTCTCATCCTTGATTAGACACGCACACGTTGGCCAAGTAAACCCCTGGCCTGGTCAGCACAAGCAGGGCTGCTCTCTGATTAAAATCTCAAGCTGTGTTTGTGTGTGTGTGTGTGTGTGTGTGTGTGTGTGTGTGTGTGTGTGTGTGTGTGTGTGTGTGTGTGTGTGTGTGTGTGTGTGTGTGTGTGTGTGTGTGTGGTGTGTGTGTGTGTGTGTGTGTGTGTGTGCGTGTGGGTGTGTGTGGCTGAAAGTGTGAAACTGTGTGTGTTCAAAAGATGGTGATCACTCTTTCAAGCTCCACACACACAAGGTGGTCCATAGACGAGGACCGTTTTACAGTCATTTCAACCACACAACAACCACCCTACACACACAAACACAGCTTGAGATTTTAATCAGAAGAGCAGCCCTGCTTGTGCTGACCAGGCCAGGGGTTTACTTGGCCAACGTGTGCGTGTCTAATCAAGGATGAGAGAAGTGGTGACAGAGCGAATGTACCAATTAAGCAGGCTGATTGGCTCTATTCCACTGTGGCAAAAACAATCTCTCCCACAACAGATTGCAATCTGAACAGCACCAGATGTAATTCATTAATTATACTGATAAAAACGCCTCAGCTCCATAAACGTCCATGTTGCTATTCACTTTTGTTAGTTTGGCGTTTTATATGATGAGTTATGGATTTTTCCTGAGGTTGTCTGTTTAGCGTGTCCATATGTGTTGTGTGTGTGTGTGTGTGTGTGTGTGTGTGTGTGTGTGTAAATGTATTGAATCAACGGCTGGGTTTAAAGTTTTTTATTTTTTATTAAAGTTATTTTGGAGAATTTGTTGCATTTGCAGCTTTTATTTGCAATGAAACTAGCAGAAAGATATTACCAGAGCTGTATCGAATCACTCTTATAGGGTAACTCCTCTGAGAGGGTAAACATTAGTGTCGCAGTCAGTTTAAGCCAATATATCCACTGAATAGTCCTCAATTTCAGCTCCACCAGGAAAACAATTGCTTATAGGATCAGCGCAGAAACCCATAGCAAAATAATTGAATAGTTTTTAGATAATATGGGTTTAAAATGACTTATTGCCCCAGTTAAATAGTAAATTAAAAGGCTTTCAGGTGAGTATTACTCGTGTCGATGTTTGGTGATGTGTTAAGAATAAAAGTGATGCTTTGTGTATTGTAGCAAGGAGAATAAAGGGATAGTGGAGATGGAAGGGAAGGTGGGGAGGATTTGGAGGTTGCCTCACCTTTGTCAGAAAGGTTCTTGAGTGCATCCTTTATCCCAGTTGAAGAGTGCTCCTGGGCAGCCTGGAGGAGTTGTCCGCTAAGCTTGGTGATGAGGGGCTGGAGGAGGCTCATGGTGCTGAGTACCTCCTGAGCTTTGGCTGTGTGCTCTGGAGAGTAGTAGATACACTGGTAGGCAGTGCTGAAGCTGTGCAGAGGAAAAAACACATCAATTCAGATTCAACAGATTTTGCTACAGTTGCATGGCCATGGCTGGATACAGCACTGGAATCAATTTTAAGAATAGAAATGAAAGTGACCCAAATCTGATTTTTAAAACTGGACCACACTTGCTTATAATGAGATTTGTGGCCATACTGGACAGACGCTGTTTCGTTTAGATCAGTGCTGCTGGTTTTTCTTAGTGTCCACTTGCCACTGGCATGTGCCAAAACTAGCAGAGTAGAAAGAGACAGTATTTGATATCAAACAAGCCACAAGCTACATGCTGCTTCACCTGCTCCATCTGGAGGCAACAGCCCTGAAACAAAAACTCCAAAACATGGACAACTGATCAAGATCAGGTTTTTTTCCTACAGGTGTACCTCAAGTATATTGTCAATGCTCTTCTATCACAGAACAGTATGTTCTGTGATAAAGACCATGCATAGCATCTGCAATAAAGATACAACACACGAAGAAAGTGATGCACCACTCCTAGTTGCTACTTAACTGTAGCAGCTCTAAACCCAGGTAGAACATCTGATTTAAGTGCCGCGGCTGAAATAACAAGCGTAACCTTTCCTAACACTAGAAATGGCACATAATTGTATTTTACCTTGTATCATACGTATAATCAGATTCAAGGCTGATTACATAAAAAAACAATTATCACAACATGGATTTTAAAGTAGAGAACTGAAAAAAACATGTTATCTTACAACAGTAGAAAAGCTTTACATCAATTATTTCTCATCTGACATAAATGTTGATATAGAGGGGTATTCAAAGGCGATATTAATTATCTTGAGATGAGTATTGACAAATACATGAATAATTGGGAATTTACTGATTGTAAACATTACATTATGGTGCACTAATTTTCTGAGCTCATTTCATTTTTCTGCTGCCTTGAAAATGTCAGTGTAGCCGAGTGACGCTTTTCCAGGTACTCAGTCTGAACTGTTAAATTAGACCTTGCAGTCCAATGTCAACCGCGCCATTTTTCGCCTGTTAATGAATAATTTTAATCCTTCTTTCATTTCAAGGGAGTTATTTAATCTCAGAAGAACAAACGTGTTTTGTCTGAGATAATAGCTCCCTTGAAAATGAGAGGGATTAATTATTCATAAAGCGAAAATAGGGCGTTGACCATTGGACTGCAGGTTCTAATTTAACAGTTCAGATGAGTACAGCTGGAAAGCCGTCACTGCTGAACATTTTTCAAGGCAGGCAGAAAAATGAAATGAGCTCAGAAAATTGTGACCCAATATGTAATGTTTACAATCAGTAAATTCCCCATTATTCATGTTATTTGTCAATACTCATCTCAAGAATAATTAATATCCCTTTGAATACCCTCTATTACATTTTAAGTCAGATGAGCAAATAATTGATTAAAGCTTTTCTACTGTTGTTGAGAATAAATGTTTATTTTCAGGTTTCTCTTACTTTTAGAATCCATGTTGTGTATAATTGCTTTAATTTAATGTATCAGCTCTGAATCTGATTTATAGTATGCTACAAGGTAATACAATTTATGTGCCATTTGTCTAGCTGTTAGGAAAGGTTACGCTTGTTATTTCCAGCCGGGCACTTAAATCAGATTGTTCTACCTGGGGTTTAGAGCCTGCTACAGGTTAAGTAGCAATAGGAGTGGTGCATCACTTTCCTTCGTGTGTTGTATCCCTTTTATTGCAAGAATGTATGATGGTCTTATCACAGAACATCTGTTCTGGATAGGAAAGCATTTGACATATACTTGAGTTACACCTTGTAGGAAAAAAACCTGATCTTGATCAGTTTCCTGGTTTCGGAAGTTTTTGTTGTCAGGTCTGTTGCCGTCCAGAATGGACGCAGGTGAAGCAGCATGTAAGTTGTGGCTTGTTTTTGATATCAAAGTACTGTCTCTTTCTAAGCTCTGCTATTTTGGCACATGCAGTTGGCAAGTGGAACACCTAAGAAACAGCAGCACTGATCTATAACGAAACAGGCGTCTGTCCGAGGGTATGGGCCACAAATCTCATTAAAGACAAGTGTGGTCCAGTTTTAAAACTCAGATTTGGGTCACTTTCCATTTCTAACTTCTTAAGAATTGATATCCAGTGCTGTATCCAGCCCCATGGCCATGCAACTGTTAGCAAAATCTGTTTGAATCTTGAATTGATGTGTTTTTTTCCTCTGCTCACAAGCTTCAGCACTGGCCATAACAGTGTATCTACTAACTCTCCAGAGCACACAAGCCAAAGCTCAGGAGGTTACTACAGCAGCCATGAGCCTCCTCAGCCCCTCATCACAAGCTTAGCGGACCAACTCCTCCAGGCTGCCCAGGAGCACTTCTTCAATGGGATAAAAGGATTGCATCAAGAACCTTTCTGACACGGAGGGGCGGGGGGACGTGGCGTCAGGGCAGTGGGGGTGCGGCGGGGTGCTGGGGAGGTGAAGGCAACCTCCAAATCCTTCCGCCCACCTTCCCTTCCATGCTCACTTCCTTTATTTCCTCCTTTGCTACAAATCACAAAGCATCACTTCATTATTCTTGAACACATCAACCAAACATCGAAGGTTAATACCTGCACCCATGAAAAGCTTTTAAATTTAATCTGCTTAACTGGGACACATAAGTTCATTTAAACCCATATTATCTAAAAACTATTCAATTATTTGCTATGGTTTCTGCTGCTGATCCTATAAGCATTGTTTTTCCTGGTGGAGCTGAACATCTGAGGACTATCTCAAGTGGATTATATTGGACTAAACTGGGACTGCGAC